CGCGTCGCGCGCAGACCCAGCCTAGTATACCGCTTTTTAACGACGAGCATCCAGATGACCGCAATTTTGATAGGCGCCAGTGCGCCCCCTATGGGTTGTGAAAGTTGCGAATATCTACGGGGGCCGCAGCGACCCGCATATACCTCCCACTGAGAAAGTAAAAACATTATTCCGGCACATACTAAACACTTCCATCTCCACAATGAGTATACCCTGAGGTTGGATATGCCTCTAGATATCAATGTAACATATTGATACCCGGAACTTAATTAACAACTCTTTAACTCGGACACCTCGCTACACCTAAAGAAAACGTCTACCCGGCATCACTTTGTTAATGCACCAATATATAGCTCACACCATAGAGAGGCAATAGGATGACCATAGACTCACCGGGACCATAGAACGGAAATAGGAAGGAATGAAAAACTTTTTCTTTCGCGAAGATCTCTATAGCGTTTTTGTGTCCATTCTGTGGCAAACCAATGGTACATAGACGGTCTAAAAACTGTCTTCAGGAATCCATAGGATGGAGAAAGAGGTAATAGAACGGCAAAAGTATGGACATAGGACGTCCATACATATTTTTGTAGGGGGAGACAGTCTCACCATGAATGTAAAGGCCCGTTCACACTCTTGCAACCGAGTACAACTGAGAGAGACGAGACCGGTTTTTAAGCCTCTTGCGAACTCTTAGGACCAGCTCCGCTGCTGCGCATCCGGTCCTAAGAAGTCGCAAAAGGCTTAAAAACCGGCCTGCCCTTACTCGGTTGCAAGAGTGTGAACGGCGCTTTAGATGCAAAAGAGATATTATGAGTTTTCCGAAAGACTGTCGTGGCCTTGGTTATGGACGGGTTTAAAAAAAAGGTCGTTGTCGGAGCACCATCGGTAGAAAGAACATCCCTCTTCCTGGAGCTTAGCACAATCATGCGCAGTAATTATTTCTCTATAGATTTTTATATCATCAGCACATTGCAGGAATGAAGAATTTAAAATAGCAAGAGAGACGTCATTTACAAAAATTGTGAACAGATCCTTAAAACATTCATTCATCCATCAGGATGAAAGAACGTGCCCTTACCAACGAAGAGTTCATGTTGTTGGCTCGGACATTCGCCTCTCTCTCTGACAAGTAGCTTTTCAACCAGTCGAGTACTGAGCCATCCGTAGGAATAAAGTTTGGATAAAAGAATTGTGTGATTGACTACGTCAAAGGCCTCGCTTAAGTCAAAGTAGACGTGTATCTGACGATTAAATTGCGATTAAATGCAAAGATGCAAGCGAGCTGGACAAGAACGACGAAAATGATCCCTGGAGAAGGGGAACAAGAGGGACAAAGGACAAACACAAATCTCTAAACACAGCTGGGTGACGGTGCGCGACCGAAATAATCCGCCTGGTCCGGGTATCGAACCCGGGACCTCTATCTGATCTCTGTTACAGATCACACGAGATGCGGAATACAGAAAACTAACAAGACTTGTAGTCGTTGTGCAGTTAAACTGGTTCTAATTACCCCCGTTTTATTCTAGTGGTGAAGACAACTCAAATGGGTGTCCAAATGACAACTCCAGAATATGCTCTAAACATTTCGATCTATCAAGGCTCCCGATAGTCTTAAAAGCGCATAAAGGAACCAGGGACATGGTGCGCACGTGCACACTGCTGAAATCAGAGTCACCGCCGCTCGCCACAGCCCGACGGGCAGACTGGCTGCCCCAGGCAAGCCTCCGCTTATGGCGCTGAGTGCAGCCCCGCAGCACTCTCGTGGCGCCGCCGCGCCGCCTGGCCATTGCCGGCTGGCTATGCCGAGCGAACAGCACCCTATCTATTGCTCGGCTCGGTGGTGCTCTGATTCCGGTGGCAAAAGCTCTGCCAAGTACTTTGGGTTCCCGAGTGACAAAAGGTAAAAACAGGGGCTGCTGATTTCTGTTATACAGTTTCGGATTGTCGAAAACTTGCAGGTGCATGTTTCGTATTGGTTGTAGTGGCACGTGCGTGGAGCAGCTCGCGCTGCAGAAGGAACCTGCGAGACCATGGCTTGCAGGTCTGTGAGTACTTTAACAGTTTCGTGTAGATTTTGTTACTTTGTTGTGCCGTGAGGTGAACGTTCTTTTTTTTTTTTTCTATACAAAGAGCGTGCCCAATAAAAACAGGACTTTCAAAAGAAGTTTGGACTTGTGCTGAGACTGGCAATGTGAAAAGTCTGGGCACACTTTGCATTCATTGATTGACAATGCAATGAGAAGGCTATCACTTTTGTCGAGCGAATCTAAATCGAACGACTCATGTCGTTCCGGAAGCGTCGGACATTCGCAGAAAAAAGGTAAACACACACTTCTTTAATGCGAAAGAATTAACTCTCTCATGGAGCGAGCTGACGTCATCAGTTTGAAGCGCGAAAACGGCAGATAGTTTCTTTTGGTTCCATTGGCTGGCGCGCGTCGACGGGGCTCCCATTGGCCGCCGCGCTCGTCAGTTTCCACGACCGCTCACCCATATGGTGCTGCGTGTCCATCAGCGCGCCGTTGCTCCGCTGGGCACGGAGCGTCCAAGGTCACCGTGCCCACGGGAGACCACGCGCTGACCGGCGACGAAAAGTACACAGCAAGCGAAAAAGGGAACGGATGAGCGGCTTGCATGCTTTCGCATTCACAACTCATAAGACGTGCTTAGGTGTTACTCAATCTTTTTGTTTATTTCTTGTATTTGTAAACCCACCGCCCATTAACCGTCTGAAATTAGAGTCCCAATGGGAGGTATAGGAAGATTCGAGTCCCAATGGGAGGTATAGGAAGATTCGAGTCCCAATGGGAGGTATAGGAAGATTGCAACAGGAACCTAATGGAAATTTTCCACTGGGTGTGCTAATGCAAGACATACCCTTCACTTTGCACCCCTCGGGCTGCCAAGAACAGGACAAATTAGACGTATATGTTCTGGCAATGTAAAGCCGGTTAGCTTCTTTGTGGCGACTTAGTACATGTATCTGATAAATTTATCCAATCCGGTAGGACTGCTAACGAGGTGCCTTTGTAACATGCATCACGCACCGAGAAATCAGATGTACACCATAAGGCATGTCGGACGGGAGATTGTAGAACATGGCGCGAGCTTTCACACAACATGCACCTTGCTACAGTTTTATTATTTATTTTTGTTTTTACTACATTCTTGCCTTTTTTCTTTTTCTGGGGGGGGGGGGGGGGGGGTCACCGTTGTTTCGGACGAACCAACCCCAAAATAAAATTCTGGCTATTACGGTTACACAAAATATTCAAACGGAATATAAAAAAACCTTTTATGCAAAAAGAGTTGCCAAATTATTTACCAACTACTTCATTTGAAACATTTAAAAATATAACAATATGAGAATCTTTAAATGCATTTTACGAATACCCATATTTAGAACATACCCTATGCTCCTTTAATGTAAATTCATTATGAATGCAGAAACAACTAATATCTCAAAATGTGGCAAAATTGCACGCCAGTATTTGAAAAAGCTCCATCTTTTTTAAAACTCGCCTTAACCATTTGCAGCGACATGAACTAACTTGTGATGTCGAAACATTGAGCAACATATGAAGTCCGAAAGAGAAAAGTGGAAACAAACCTACACTCAAAGTGAGCTGCTTTTCTTCGTTATAGGGGGGCGATTTCACTTCAAATCGTGCAGAAAAAGGGGTCATGTCTGAAAAGCTTTAAAAAAAATATATATATATATGCTGGGCAAATTCTTCACTAGAACAAAACTGAAAACCGTTTCATATCCTCTTTTTTGTCTCGAAGGTGGATTTTGGAATTTGGGCGCTTGTCACTGGTTGGATATTTGAGAGCTTTGCCAAGCTGATACCTTCCGCACAACAGAAACTTTTTACATGGCTTTCCAAACTACATCAAAAGTGCCAAATGTTAAAAAAAATGTTTTTATTTTTGTAAAAATACCAGAATCTGGCCCCTTTGGCAAAAATTTGCCTGGTTTGGGTGATAACTTTTATTACATTCAAGTTTATAGCATAAGTTAAATATTGAATGAAAGATTAAACAAAATTCTATTCAACAAGTCAAATATCATTAGAGTCCAATAAAGTTGTCTTAGCGAAAACACCTTTGAATATGATAGGAAACTAAAAATATAAATTTAAACATAAATAGAAAAACATTTTTAAAAATATTTTTTTTGTTCACATATAGCCGATTGTTTCTTTCAAGAGCGTGGGCTTTCCCATATAATTTTTACCGAAATATAAGAAATATGATCCATCGTATGAACCGACGTGGAGAAATATGACATCATCGCATGAACCGAAGTGGAAACACCCTAGATGCAAAAATACAGAAAGTGCAGAAACTGTGCAATACTTCAAATACCTCATTTGTAGATAGGAGATTATGAACTATAGGGCAGATATTTTTAATACATGTTAATGAGAGAAGGTACATTATTCTGGGTCTTTCTTGTGAAACTTTGAATGCTCGAAGATGCCCTGTTTCAACTCAGTTGCACATAATTTGTGCTCACATTTCTAGGTTGCTATAATATTTGGAACTCCTATGCTCTATAGATGGCGGGGCAGTAGTCACAAGATTGCAGATGAGACAACAATAGATTCCCCAGCATTTCCCGTGCGCCTGCTCTCCGACGCTGGTCAGCATGCCAAAATAATTTATCTGGCTACAAATATAAAGCGGTCAGGGCAGGAGCATATCACAGGTGACGGAGATGTTGACGTGGGTTAAGAAAATTAAAATGTTGATCTTTAAAAGTCGTGGAGCTGAACAAAACAATTCCAATTTTAACCCACTCGCTTTTCGTTAAAACTGCATGATGCATGAACACGCCGAGAAGAACCAAGCCGTAATAGCAGCCCCAAGTCCAGCAATCCCTTCCACAGTCTCCGGCGCCGTCCCCGCTCCTCTGGTTCTCCACTCGTTCGCGAGAAGGCAAGCAACCTGCTGGAGTTGCGAAAAGTCTCACTACAAAACAGAGAGTGCACTCAGTGGCAAAAATGTTTTTATTCAACTTCACTATGCTCATGTGCTGACAACATTACAGCCCTTAGCCATCCGTCACTGGTTGGTAAGAAACTTGTGCCCTATGTACAGTTAAAACCCCACCCAGGCGACTGTAGCTCAGGCAATGAATTGACCCGCAGTTGTAGCCAGTTCTGCCGCCAAAATGTTTTCGTGGAGGGTTATCTCCAGGCCTTCACCTGCGATTGCCACAAGAATGTCTCCGTCGGGCTTCCTGCAAGACAAGTTGCAAAGCGGATCAGCATTAGGTAGGTATCTTAAATACCTTTATCTATAGGTTCTTTTCGCCTCATTACGCTACAAGACCTGCTTACCATATAGACACTTCATGAAGTTCAGTGACAACCCTAAATTAAAGGGCATGCAAAGAGCAAGAATAAATATCCGAATAAAAATCCTGGCTACGTGCCTGCGCAACGGCGTAGATGACGACGCAATATAATCTTAGATGACGAAGGCTCCTCGGATGATAGCTTGCAGTAACTGCGGCAATGAGTGTATATCAACATTTGGGCATTGCTTCGCGCAGTAAGTACGAGTAATACGTGAGGCATTTTTTGTTTTTTTCAGAGAAGTTGGGGGAACGGGTTATACGCAGGAACGGGCAATATGTGCGAAAATACGGTATTTGCAAGCCCTTTTGTGCAAGAGTCGTGTTTCAAAATTTACTCAATCTCACAAACAATTCGTGCCTTGGCATTTGAAAACCTACCCATGGTCAGCGTCGCTCTATTGGTAATAGAGTTTTAGGGAACCGTTTTTGCACATCCAATATGGTACGATGGGCCCTCCAGTTCGAACTGCCCATATGCGAGTCCTCTGTGGTCTTACCGTAATGAACCTTTCGAACTGTTAAGGCACGACCAATGGCCGACATAAGAAGTCTCGCTTTGTAACTAGAACAGCTATTTCTCTGTCGGAGGGAGCGTGCCGAGGCTTCATACATGAATAAAGTAACTCATATTAGTGCCTGGCCATAGGTGGCACCCTAGGTGAGAGCAACTGTATGAAGTTTCAGCAAATAAGAAAGCAAGTTCAGAACAAAACGCAATAGAACTTCCTCTTAAAAAATAATTTAATGTTTAGTAAACGGCAGTCACGCCTGCGCAGTAGATTAGTTGGTTTAAAAGCACCAGCTCCGGGCTCGCAGGAGAACGAAGATGGAGAGTCTGAATCCGACTGACCTACAAAATGTTTTTTTTTTACTTATGTTATTACATTTTTAATTTTACAGCAGAGCTGTTAAGGGCTAGTTTCCCCAGGATCGTGTCCGCCAGCAAACAAATGATGAGAACAAACTCTGGACAGCTACCGCCATCTATGAGTGAAACAACAACCAGACAACCGGCTTGCCGGTTGTCTTGTTGCTGCTGTCGCTCATAGATGGCGGCAACCTTTCCAGCCTTTCCACTTTGGATTGCGGACTTGCGGCCAGCCATTACTTAATTCTCACCATAGTACAGCTTCGCTGGTCTTCCTTCTTCACCAGAGTGGAAAGGCTCCAAGTTTTTTAATTATTTTTATACAAACATTGGGATGTGCACTTTGGGAACTTATTACCCATTTTTACAGCTGCTACTTTGGCTATAGGGGTTATCTGTAGTGGCAACAGAAAGAGCAACAGTTTTTTGCATCAAGACTCTCGATACTTACTTTAAAAATATAGCATGAATTAAAAATTTGCGTACTAATGCTAACCACATAGTATACCCCATAAAACGAGCCCTTTGAATATTGGATGATAATTTTAAAAACGTTCAGCCTTTCCACTCTCGTGAAAAAGGAAGACCAGCAGAGCTCCGGCGACCCAGAGTCGGTCGCACACGGCACACGTGACGCCAGACGGGTAATCCATGAACTCGCTTTGGAACATCGCCGTCGCGCCAGGGAACTGTTCAGCCGGCATAGAATGCAGTCGTCGCCGAGCCTCGTGCTTGCGCTTGGCCTTCGTGGCACGATCGTCGGTCGTCCGTGGCGTTGGCCCGCCGGCGCCCTTTACATCGCTGGTTCTGTTCTCAGCGGCGGCTTTCCAGGCAAGCGATGTGCTCTTCTTTGGCGAGGAAATCTGAAGCGCTTGACGCAGTGGAAGTCAAGGCGACGGCGGCTTTGCGGTGATTACGGACCCATTCGCGCTGCTGCGTACGTCGACGCTCCTTCCGCAGCATGTCTTCTTTCCCCAAAAAGGGCGCGTGGCCGACCCATCCTAAGTGCAAACTGAAACTGATAAGAGCGTAGGAAACAGCGCGCAAAACAGACGAGGACGAAGAAACACACGTCACGAGCGCTGCGCTCATTGTGTGTGCTTCTTTGTCGTCATCTATTTTTCTTGCCGTTTCCTACAATGAATTCGCACCAACGCGCCGCCCAACTATCCACTCTTCTATGATAGCTGGAAAGGTTGGCGCCACCTACGAGTGACGGCGGCAACCATACTGGTTGTGTGCTTGCCGCCGTCGCTTATAGGTGGCGGTAGCAGTCCAGAGGCGTTTTTGTCGACAAGTGTTTTGTACACGGACACAATCCCCGGGAACCTAGCCCTTAACAGCTCTGCTGCAAAAATGGATAGCAGTAAAGTGACAACAAGTTTTTCTTTCTGGTTGTACCGTACACGGCTCAACGATCGGTTCGCAGGTGTCAAACCGTGTTCGTCTGCTATCTGTACTGTACGCAATTGCGAGAAAAATATGAGTGCCGATGCAGTTGTGGTAGGTCAGCCTCCTCAGCCCGACTGTGAGGGCCTCGTCCCGACACCCAAACCCAGCCGTTGGATGTCAGCGTCTCCGCGATGCACAGCACCAACCAACCAAAGGTGGCGTTCCAACCAGTGTTCCCAGATTGGGCTATATATAGCCAAATTAGGCAACATGTTTTTCTAGTTCGCATCAAAATTTCGTGGATGGCTACGTGGCTATTTTTGGGCTATTTCTTAGGATGCGGCAAACTTTTGTCGAACCTGAGGTTCGACTAGTTAATTTTCAACCTTCTAACCAGTTTAAGAAAAAAATTGTTTTTCTTTTGGCTAGTCGAGAGGAGAGAAAAGAAGGAGAAAGGCTTCAAACTTCTACAAACTTCAGGGTTTTCACAATGCAAAGACAAGCAATGCTTGCAGAGTTTAAGTAGTCTCCACACAGCACAGTGGAGCAAACCAAACAGACTGCACTACAGTAATATCCCAAGAGATAGTCCACCTAAAAAAAATTAGATGTTTACAACCCCCTGTAATGCCGAATTAGAGCGCAGCTCTTGAGGAGGAGGAGGGGAGGGTACGGAGGGGAAGGTATGCCTCTCCTCCTCTCTCCTCATCTATTCTCCCCTGCTCCTCCCCCTCTTTTCTTCCTTCTCCCTCCTCCTCCTCCCCCTTCCCTCTTAGTGCATTACGGGAAACGTCCGATAATGCAAACGCGCGGCTCACCGCTGTGCATTATGGCACATTTCCCATAATGCACCGCACAATTACGCCAACGGCGACGTGTCACGCTGACATGTTACAGCTACCGTTACGGTTGCTGTTGCAGTCGGCGTAACGCTTTGTGGTGACACGTCGGCATAACGCTTTGTCGTGACGCGTCGGTGTCGCATAACACGGCGTAACGCTTTTTCGTGACACGTCGGCATCGCATAACGCGTCGGCGTCGCGTAACGCTTTTTTGTGACGGTCGCTTAACGCGTCGGCGTAACAGTTTTTTTAGACACCTTGGCGTTGCGTAACACATCGACGTAACGCTTTTTCGTGACACATCATGAAAAAGCATTATGCCGACGGCGAGGCCGCTCAAGCCAGAAACGAGCGACTAAGAGCTGCGCTCTAAAACGAGAGCAAATTGGGTGAAAATGAGGGGTGGTCTAACTCTCGGTGTGGAATCAAAAACATTTGTAAAAATGCTACTTTTATATTTTGTGATCAGCCAAACTGGTTTTCACATTGAGGGGCAATGGAGCATAGAAAAATGTACTTTCCAATTTGCAATGTTCACTTTTCCCCCGCTGTGGTCGAGTAACACCAATTCTGCCGATGTCACCATGGGTCAGAGCTTTGCAATTACTAGAGGAGGGCTATATCTTTTGGTGTTTTTGAGATAATAGCAAATTGTGCCAATAGCAGGGGTGGGTTTTCTTTGGGGAGGGGGGAATCTCTTGGGATACTACGGTATTACCACAGACCTGGTAGCGCGTCTTCTACCTGGATGTAGACTGAACTCTCCAAACGCTGCTTTGGTGCCCATTGTAAGAATCCTTAGGCTCCCAAGTTTGTAAAAATGAGAACTTCGCAGTTTCACCGCTAAACGCCCACCCCAAGAAAGGATACTCATATTCTACAGATGGGGATACTCATATTCTACAGAAAAAAAAAAAAAAGAGATGAGTGTGATATTGGTAAAGACTTTAGATATTGGGGTTCTGGTTTGAAACTCCCAGTGTTCTAATTGTTTTGCTTCAGTAATTTGTTCTTTTACTGTATGATCATATCTTCCGGGCTTCACAATAAAGCTGTCTGTGTGTTTTGTACTTCTGAAAACCTACGAAGAAAGGTCATGTTGCACAGATTTTCATCATTCCGATTTTTTTTTTTTAAATTCACAAGTGACATAATGTACACTCTCCGGCGATATGAAAGACTCACTGGAAGCGCATGGCCGAGGCGGTGGCTGGCGGGGGCGCTGCGAGCGCTCCGGGCTATTCCGTTCTACTTCGAGGGGAGGACGCTCACTCGGGCTCAGATAAAGCGAAACGCGCTTATCAGTTTGTGCCGAGTCCCGAGTGAGCGTCCTCCCCTCGAAGCAGAATGGAACTGCCCGGAGCGCTCGCAGCGCCCCCGCCAGCCACCGCCTTGGCCACGCGCTCCCAGTGGGTCTTTCATATCGCCGGAGACTGTACATAAAATGTGGCGTGCCTGAGAGTGGAAAAAGAGAATGTAACACGTTTTTTAAGTGTGTGAAAAACTGTCAATAAAAGGCTTAAAAATCACTGTTTTTAGTCTTAGCTACTTTGGCTATAGTATCTTTTTTTACGGTTTCGGCTATATTTGGGTTCTACCCCCAGCCGTTTGGCGGAATTTTGGTAGGACCACCTGGCAACACTGATTCCAGCTAAGGCTATGAAACACCTCCTTTGTATTCCTTTCTACAATACTCTCAGTCAGCAGCCCCGATCGGAGATGGGGCAGATCCTCTTTCGTGAACTTGAACTGTCGTAGGACGACGTCGCCCTCGTCTATTGACGCCACGTCGAACGTCCCATGCATAGCCGCCAACAAGCGCTTTCTCTTGGTGTGCAAACAGTCGTACAAAATAATGTTTTCTTAATTGTTTTCGCCAAATAGAGCGAACTTCAAGTTGCCGTCAAAAAGATTAAGCACCAGTGTTGTCGGAAAGCTTGTCTGCTCCTTTAGCAGACAAACATTTTAGAACTTCGCAATGCCAGTGGCAACACGTTGTGGGGTGCCAGGTTTTATATATCGAAAGTGCATTCATTTCAGTAAAAAAAACTAGACGAATTATGAGTAGATATACAAAGTTAGGTTCTCTATATTTACGAAATGCGAATTTTACTTACAACTTCAGTTTCTGCAATTCATAATCCTCCCCATACACAGACACATGCAAATCTGTCTTTTCTCAATGAGGCCGATTCAGGCTTCCGTTGCCAAGGGGCGCGACCTGTACCTATCGTCTGCAAGTAAGATTCCCCCAAAGCCGTTTCAAGGCACGCGATCGGTTCACACGCCCGATCCAAGGTATCGCTCGTTTTTGTCTATCGATCATATTTTGTTCCAGTTCCCTAAAACTCTCTATTATCCCTGTAATCTGCGGAAGTGACTCGCATCTAATTGAGCGAGATTTGGAACACAGAACAGAACCAGCCAACCAGGAGAAATCACCGCGAGCAAATATCTAGGAAACTATTTTTTTTCACCGTAAGTGCTGCCAACACTACAAGCCAACGTGGCCAATTAAGCTGTGCCAAAAGCATGGGGTCGTGGCACTTGTCGTCTTTTATTAGTAGCCCAACCGATCGAACACGGTGAATGCGCTGTGGCATCGCGATTCTTGTTCCGTGCATGCGCATTTATGCGTTTTAAATCCTTCGACTCTGCTCAAACTTGCACCAAAACAAAGTATAAGTGCCACCGTGAGATACGTCCACCACCGAATTCCCCTACAATAAAAGAGTATGGTTCCAAGAGACAAGAGCTCACTTCCAGCAGGTGAGAGCCGCGAGGTCGGGAACGCAGGAGATCCTGCTGCAGTGCTCTTGCACGGAGCTCGAAGATCTGTGCCATGTGCGCAGCCGCTGGTCAATTCCCACTGACATCAGCCATTTCCCTTGAGCATCAAGAAACAAGGCCCCTGCAGCGTCACGAGCAATAAAAGTCACATAAAGGGCCGACGAGTACCTTGTCCTCTTCCACCTCTTCCAAACCATGTTACCCTTAGCCAACACCTATGGTCACGCTAAGAATTCGGAAGAAGCTCCACCTCTGGCATGCGCTCGTCGCCTTCTGCCAAGCTTTGGCTGCTCGTGCAACCAAGTGTTATCGAAGATAAAAAGCTCGCACCAAAGGCGGAGCATCTACTGAACTCTTAATGATGCCGCAGTGTTGGTTTTTCTATGTCAACTACCAAAAATGAGCGCAGGGCACAGGTTGAACACGTGCACTGCTTCGGTGTTTGGCTGGGATTCGTGTTCTTGCAGGTTGAACGAGAGCCCCTAGAAAGCGCCTGCTAACTTCTTAGCAATTTCAACGGAAGGCCAAAAATGGTGACACAAAACTTACAACATTTTTATGACCACTACCAAACATGTATACACGTGCCTTGCAAAACTGTGAGGGCATGTATTTTTAAGACATATGCAAAGGAAAAAAAATATATTTTGAACAGCCTGGATGGCTATAGAATGTCATAAAATTAATTTACTATGAAAAAAAAAATGTTTGGTGCTATATTTACGGCATAAAACGAATTTGTTGTTGGCGCACCTGGGAGCCCGCGGAAAAGTGGCCACTAGCAGTCACGTGACTGGCCACTAGACACATGGTGCTTGCGCTTTTTGGGGAGCTTCCTGTGGGCTCTAAGAGGTACTTATTAATCTTCGTTTTACAGCGGAGCTGTTAAGGGCTAGGTTCCCCAGGATTGTGTCCACTAGCAAACAAATGTCGATAAAAAACTCTTGACAGCTACCGCCATCTATGAGCGACGGCGGCAACCAGACAACCGGCTTGCCGGCCTCGCTCATAGATGGCAGCAACCTTTTCAGCCTTTCCACTCTGGTTTTCATCAAAGTGGAAAGTCTGAATTTTTCTAGGCGTCGTCCTCGAGGTCGTCCTAGAAGTCGTCCTTGAGGTTGATTTAGACGTCGTCCTTCAGGTTGTCCGAAAGGTTGTCCTCGAGGTGGTCCTAGAAGTCATCCTTGTGGTCGTCCTTGAGGTCGTCGTAGACGTCGTCCACTAAGGTCGCCCTCGAGTTTGTCCTAGAACCTGTCCTCGACTTCGCCTTAGAAGTCGTCCTTGCGGTCGTCCTATAGGCGTCGTCCTTGAGGTCGTCTGAGGAGTCGTCCTTGAGGTCGTGCAAGGAGTCGTCCTTGAGATCGTCCAACCATAGTACAGCTTCGCTGGTCTTCCTTCTTCACCAGAGTGGAAAGGCTGAAGGTGTTTTTTTCTGGTGCAATCCTTTTTTTAACAAACTATTGTGATGTTTGAGAAACAACAAATGTAAAAATATCGTCACTTCCGTTTTGACTCATATGATAACAAACAAAAGCTTTGCCATTTTCTATTCCAGTTGTTCTCAACCACTGCTCTTTCACAGACCCCTTGTGGATCGGCGAAGACCACGGAGGACTTTGTTTGTGGTGAGGGGAAGGGTATAGGTTAATTATAATAATGAGTTATTAAATGGATATAACTAAAGGCTAGTGTGAGTAGACTTCTCTCATTGACATACCCATGAGAAAACTCATATGAAAATTGGAACGTTTCTTCTCAATCAGAGAAAAGGACAACTGTTATTTCTGGGCTTGACTCATAAGGCAGGGCTTCGTGGATTCCTAGAATGCTTTTGCGGCCTCCAAAGGGCCGGTCCACGGACCCCGGTTTGAGAACCACTGTTCTATTCTAAGAGGCGCGGTGTTTTAGTTTCTAACACGTCAGTTCCCTCAAAACGACACCACTGCTCAACGATCACAAGGAGTGCAGCCTTTTGTCAAGCAGCGGCGTCGCTTTGGAGTAACCAGCATTTCAGAAACTACGACATGTGACACCGTGCCCCTTCAAACAAAAAAATGACAACGCTTTTGTTTGTAGGAGTCAAAACGGAAGTGACGATTTTATTATGCTTGTTGTTTCTCAAACATTAAAATATTTTGCTAAAAAAAGAGGTGCAACAAAAAAAACGAAGGTTAATAGGTACGTATCTTTATAGAGCCCATAGGAAGCTCCCGAAAGAGTGCAAGCACCACATCACTCGTGGCCAGTAATGTGATTGCTAGTTGCCGCTTTTCTGCGGGCTTTCGCAGGCACCAACTACAAGTTCGTTTTGTGCCATAAATATAGCGCTAAAAACTTGTTTTTTTCATTGTAAATTTATTTTATGACATTCTTTTTTTAGGCTGTTTAAAATTTTTTTTTTCTCGTTTGCATATGTTTTAACAAAAAGCAGCAGTCAATTATCTTTAGTCCAAATTTGTTGCATGTGCCAAAGAGAATGGAAAATGTTAGACTGCTGGTTGTCCACAACAAACGTTTCTATCTTATCCTTATTCGGTAAAGGTAAATGAGAAATGCCCAATGCTTCTGAAAAAACTTTAAAAAAAAAGGTCATCGTATGCTTTCCTGTTTTCACATATAACCTCTAATTTCTAGTGAAGTGCAGATAGTCCATAATCCTTACACAACAAAGAATTCCATTCCTTTGAGTAAAAGCTTGACAAAAAATACCAGAAAGCCTCAACGTCAAGAAATTTGATGGACTCCGTTCAGTGCATACGTAAAAGTTGAAAGGATGCCAAAACCCCCCCCCCCAAATAAGAAACAAAACAAATTGTTGCCTTTGGAACTAATTTAACAAGATGTCGGCTGCTTTGTAGTTTTCAGTGCATCTCTTTGAAAACCAGGAGTCAGATCCCCCTCATGTGCGCATCACAGAAACCATGCGAGCATGTTACACTGCCGCAAGTTTCTCTGTCTGCAATTCGAAAAAATCCCCAACAACCTCCTTAGCCTTTTTTGGCTCAGTAAACCTTTTGCACATGCTTAGGCCTCCCCTGCTTCCAAGGTGCTCTACTGCAATGACTCTATATATATAACTTGAAGCTTGAAGCACATGTCGACGTCCCAATGAAGTAAGAGGCTCGACCTCACCTGTGATTTGGGCATCGTGGGCATTGGCGACCGTCATCCCGTCCAGTTCAGAGACTGCGCCATCCTCCGTGACGACGGAATTGGTGACAATCAGACTGTTGTCGTCGCCCCCGGACACCACCGTGAATATGTTGTCTGAACGACAGAAACATTAAGCTGTCTGTTACTCGTAAACAAGCAGAAAATTTACGCCAAAGCGGAACCAGGCCATTTACTATGTGACCAATATTTTGGCACCATTGATATATGGGTGATTGTTGTTTTTTAGTGTTTACAGATTTGTTTAAAAATGCCTTAAAAGCATGCTAATGCGGTCCTCAATGATTAAAAAGTCACCGTAATCAACAAGTTTTAGTTACTTACAGTATTTTCTTGCGTATACCCCCATCAAAACTTATAAAAAATCAAAGGCAAAGTTGGGGTCCTGGTTATACGCGAATTTCAGCGGACAGTGCGGTTTCACGGAAACGTGCGCAAAGTCGTAGGAATAGATTTCCCAGAGTCCATCTTCTCCGGTCTCCCCTAGGGACATTTTTCTCCCCACCTTCTCCTCCTCTTTGCGGGTAGCCATCTTTACCTTGTGTTTGCGGGCTCCGAGACGTCCATCGCAACTCTGCGCCATCGTCAAATCCGCAGCCGAAGAGATTGAAAACCAAGTGGCAGACCGGAAGGACGATTGCTACATCGGCGTGCGAGAATGGAGGAACAATTACAAGCTGCAAACTGCAAGCCGCGACCGAAGATCGTTCTGCAATTCGAAGACTGGTGCATACCCCAGCTTGAAAAAGCACCCGCTAAGTTCATTGAGAAAAGAAGAGGTCATGGTCACGCGGTATCTACAAAGATCCTGTTTTACCCAACTTTTCTATAGGATATGGTGCAGAACAGTTTCAAAAAGTGCTGCACTGCTGACGACGCTATCTGCAACATTCACGACTCCAGCGACGAGCGTATTCAAAATATTTCTGGCAAGATCCGGACATCCCTTTGAGTGCCTAGTGCAGGTAATATGCGGGTAATACACGCGAAAATACGGTATGTGTTATCACATAATTACCCCCATGTTATGTCCCCCTGGCCGTTTAACTTGCCTGCACAGATCGCATTAGTAAAGCTTTCACGGCTTTTTTTAAACAAATCTAGAAAGCCTTATAGAAAGACCTTCTACGTCACAGAAGGGTAATATGGGAGCGTGCGACACCTAAACGGGGTGCGCCGGTTCAACTGATGTTCCCGCCATATGACTCTGCTAGGAGCCGCACCGCAGCGCCACTGTTTTGTCGCACGCTTCCCATTGTCACCCCGCAGCCAATCAGGTTGCAGCGTAACTCATTATGTACGCCGAAGAACGAATCAGGCAGCGAGAAGCGTAAATTTACATGATATGCCACATCCTGCTGTTTTTACTTTGTCAGTGAAAACAACAGGGCTTTATATGTTTCTCGCTGACTGATTCCTTCTTTGACAGGGAGAATGAAGGTACGAAACAGGCTTCTCCTACCTAAAAGCTGCCCAATGAACGAAGAAATGAATATAACAACATTCACGCACAAAACGTTTTGTACCTAAATGTCGGTAGTTCAGAATAGTATTCAGGTATACTGTTAGAATTTAGGGAGCTGTGGGCTTGACTGAGCATTCTGTGGGCTCAGGCAGAAGGGTCGGAATATTGAGCAGTGGCAAAAAACAAAAATGTTAATTATATTATATTTCAAGATATGCAAGTTTAAGTTAACAAAAGACTGATGCATATAATGCAGCACCCACAAAACAAGATGGCCATGAGAAACTGCAAAAAGAATTACTTTAGCAGAACAGATTGTCTCACTAGTGACTTCATCTCTGAAAAATCTTGATCAAACAAGGTGGCAGAAAGCTGTTAGGGATAACTGCACATATAGTACTATTAATTGATATTTTAAAAACTTAAAGGGAGATGCATAATTTAGAACCAGATTTCACTGCAGGATATCTGCCCAAGATCTAAAAGGCTCGGAAACTTTTCTCCTAAGAAATGGCACCTGTAAACATTGCTTGAAACAGAGCCAACTTGAACGGGCCCTGAAACATCATACCCTAGGAAGGCAGTCTTGGAGCAGCTTTTTGTTAACTGTGTTCAGGAAACCCCTAGGGTCCAGGACAACGTTAATGGTTCGTTCACACTGGAAGCGGATCTGCAACCGCAAAGCGGATCTGCGCGTTCTCAACTGCGAAGCGGCTGGGATCGAGCGGTCGGGGCGCGACAGATTTCTCCCAACTGCTTTTGCGAACCAGCAACCAATCACAATGCGACGCTGACATGACGTCGGTGGCTTTCGAAACAAGATCTGGTGAGGAGTCCAAGGCACTGTAGTCCTAGCGTTGCAGCAAACAAGTCAACGAAGAAATGTAATGTTCACGTCCGTCACTTGAATTTGCTGCGAAAATAATTGACTGGTAATCTTAACGCACTTCGCTTCAGTGGTTTGGTTCGGGTAAGCTAGTTTGTTTATTAATCAAGAAGCCACAGCTCGTCACTGCACCGCCTTGTTAATTTTTGCATTGGAACCCGCCCCTGATTGGCCGAAATCACAGCTTTTGTACCCAGTAAGGCAGTCGCGTGAACTATTGAAAGCTTTCGACACCGTGACATGACAGACAAGAAGGTCAATAACGACAACACACTACCGCAGAGCTGGCAGGCTACCTGTGCTAGCTCGACCGGTAACAATTCTACTACCAAAAGGAATAAAGAGAACCTATTAAAAAAACAAAGTGCATGTACCAGACGATGCATAGGTAATCCAAATGGCGTTTATTTGAGCTTAATGTCAAAGAAACAGCAGACTCCATCAACATGTAAGTGATGAGAGGAGCATTTCACGGAGCAGAGTGCCACTGTATGTCTGAACACGTGATGTTTTTCTCCTGCTGGGAGTTACATGAAGGCACTCAATGAAGAGGTTTGGCTGGCACTGGTGCCCAATCGGTGAGGAGGGAAAGCAGTGCGTCAGTGTTCGGCTGGCAGCTGGCCTGTCGACTTCTGTTACTGGCACCTAACCGGATATGGTTAGGTGCCAGCAATATAACACATTCTCCGTTAAAATACAAACGGTAAGGTTGGACGTCTCTGTAACGAGTATTCTTGCAACGTCTCCTCAGAGATTTTTGTTCGCAAGGGAGTCCCACTATCCTCATCACCCTGGGTAGGTTCTTAGGTGCTAGCTGCTACTTCCAGCAACCTTGCAATAAAACCACATTTTATAATATAGTTTGTACGAGGTGAAAGAAAACAGGGCCAACGTTAAGCCCAATTTACAACCACGGTTGCCCCTTAACATTCTGCAGTCATTTAATCTTTTCCTCATCCGCTGATCCAAATGCAACATTTTAAAAGCTGGTAGTCCAGACTGAGAAAGTCTGGACTACCTTAGATGAGCGCATCGCATAACTTGAGCCAATCTCTAGAGATATTTGCTTGCAGCAGCGGTTCTACCAATACTGCTCGAAAATTTGAAGTGTCAGACATTACTTGATTGACAAATGACTGAGTAGTTAAAACTGAGAAAATAATGTGTGAAAAGTAAAAAGAACTGTGATTAGATTGGTGAATCACTGCAAGACTACCTTCAAAACAAAAGCAAACAAATTCCGCTAAAAAGGCAGTGCCAAGCTTCCAAACCCAACAAGATGGGACCTACCATGGACGAGGATGTCTAGGGCGTTGATACCCGACTGGTGGCGCCGGAAAGAGTCGAGCAACCTGCACTCCGTGCGACCCTCGTCCTTCTCGTCTGCACCTCGAAGCTGCCAGAAGCGCAGCATCCCGTCGTTGCCACCAGTCAGGAGCAGTGAGGATTTGGGTCTGGTCACCAGCTCAGTCCGGAGCACCTTGAACAGGCAGTGCTCCCCCACAGCTATGCTCACCAGCAGGGTGATATCCTCCTTCCACGAGTAGCCGAATACCCTAACCACAAGGGCATGGGTGGTTGTCAATCCCATAGAACCAAACGAGTCGAGGGCAAAGTCGAAAAAGGAAATACTTGGGTTTAATGAAATGAAGCAACTGAGGCCATGGGTAATGCCCCAAAGGCTCCTTGGGGGACGGGCCACCCCGGGGTTCGAATCCTAGACTTTGCGCTCCAAAGGCTAAAATGCACCACTAATCAAGGAGGTGCCAAGGGCAGAGTCAAAAGAAAGCTAGCATACATTTTCTTTCAATTAACAGTTTTCAAAGCGCCAGCTTTACGGGTGACACTTCGCACAAATTTCGGTGTCGGCATTTGTGGTGGAGATGGAAAAACCCTTCTCTCCACTCATGATTCGAGGAGAGAAACGCTGCGAGTTTCAGTTGGCCGCACCACGCAAAGAGGGAAGAGAAGAAAGCCCCGACAACCTGCCATTAACACAGTAACGACAAGAAAGCATCAGCGTCTTCCCCCACCGTCTGCTAACAATAACTTTAAAACAGGTGCTTTCAAACATTACTCACATTATACGGAATCCCACTTTGGCAGTACCCAGTTGCTACGCGTAACGCTGGAGGGCTTTAGAAATCTCCACCGTGTTCGATTTCACCATAACACCTCTACTTCTTGAACCCAACTCTAACTGTAAAAAATGTTCTGCCAAAACTTGACGCCTTCCATTCACCTTCGCCACAGAGCTTTGCCTCGTTTTTCTGCGTGCGTCCCCCTCTCCGTTCTTCACTGAACGTCAACGTTACTCCCTCGCTTCACCGCTCAACAACACTGGGAAGACCTGCGCCTTTTCTCTTCCTAATGGCGCCGCTGGGCCTAGGCCGTACTCCGTCCCAGAGCGAGTGCAAAGGTAACGGCTGACTTCCGCTACACGCGACCGGCGGTGCGCCCACGCTAACCACCAACGAGAGGCTGCCCCGTGCCATGCACACACGGCGACGTGAGGATCCTGAATTGCGTGAACATGCTACACGCTATCACTTTTACTGCTTCGCACATTGTGGGCGAAAAAGGAGACTTTTTTAAAGTTAAATTTCAAGGGTTTGTATAAGCCACTGTAAACGACTTACCGTAAGTGATTTTCCGAGAACCAAAGTTTTGTGAATTCCGCGACTTGAAGAATATTGCGAAAAATTGGTCCAACGAATATATCATCCCAGGGTAACAAATACATGGCATATTGCTCAATATAACAAAACTCTGTAATATTGATCCCACACTTCGAAAGTTTGCAAAACACTGAGCCCGCAATACTAAATCAATAAACATTGTTTTCTGACATGGTGACAGAAGCGGGATCTAACAAGAAGAAAAAAGAAGAACCTCAGCAGAAACAATACAGCCACTGATTCGAGCGACGGAGCAAAGAAGACGCCATTAAAACAAGACAAACAAGCTGACGCACGTGAGCGCCGATTCCGAAACTATGAAAGGTGGTCTAAAGATGCCAAGATCCAGCTATGGCGTAGCATCATCTAATCCGCTCCCCATTTGAATCAATAAACATTGTTTTCTGACAGTTACAATAACATAGAAGTAAATGAAAAATAAACGCATGAAATCCAACTTTGAAGCTCTGAAACTGAAAATAATAGACTCCACTTACTTGGCGCACAAGGTTGGGTCTTCTTACCTCTATAAAACAGCCAACTTCAATCAAAAAAAAAAATGTTGTATTGCTTGGTTTGATTGATGGTCGAAGGCCTCAAGCAGCCTAAGAAGGCCTTCAGAAACCTTAAAGGTTCCACAAACCCCCATTTGAGAACCATTGATCTAGAGCTTCAAAGTTTCTGAGACTTTGAAACTGGCAATTTCAGACTCAAGGATTGTCAAGGCTATAGGAGCTTATGAAAACCCTAGTATGCAGTCCTGAAACAGCTAGGATGCATTCATCCTTCAAAAGGCAGAGGCTTGTCATATTAATGCTTACACTAAATGCAGGAAATGGGTCTGCCTAGAACGTTCTGTGGGAATTTATGTCTTCATTGCAAAGGGGCCATTCGCTCACCTGGAATCTCTAACGTACACCATGCAGTAGTGATTACATGAATGCAAAGTAACACTCCATCTGTTTCTGCACCCCCACAAGCTCCCTCATCGCTTCATTTGTCACAGAGTTCAGAGACAAGGGCCAAAAATTTGCGTTACAACCCAAGTCCAGACAAAAACTTCTCCGTAGACCAGCAGGTGCGCCAAAGAAGCATGGCAAGCTGCCTGTGCTCATACTGTTTGCAATCTGTCGATTTCGAAAGCAGCAGAACTGGCTGTTTAATTCGTGGCAATTGAGTCTGCAATAAAAGGATCTGCTCCAAGTATTTGCTAAACTGTGGTGTATTAAAAAAAAATCTCCTGGCGAGCAGCACTTGCTATTGCAAGGATATGCAATGTGGCACATGCCGACCAGCCCGGACCCTGGGATCCAGCAAGACCTAGTGACAAGGGCCCGGATAGTCAGCCACAGCCAGGATATCCCGGACTAAGGATGCAAGTGCCCTAACATCTGCACCTGATGCTTGCTAAATAAAGATTTATTCATTCATGCAATGGCACAAGCTGAAAAAACTGCAAATGTATGAAGGATTTCTATTACTCGTACAGCCACTTTGCTGGAAGATTAATTAAATGGCATGACACATACCAATGCCTCATGGTAAGTGAAGTAAGTAATTACATCCACACGGTGCACGTGTAGCACACATAAAATGCCATCGTGCACACAGTTTGACCGTACGATGCCTCCGTGTTGACTAGATTACTAATACGCAGTTTCTACCCTATGAGGTGGGGGGGGTGGTAGAGCGGAGAGTGTAAACGCACAAACATCAGCACTCCACTGCCGACACTTTCTCCCATGGCCCTCCGTGGTGCAATCAACACCAATGCGAACAAGCAAGCTCCGTGCAGGGTTCTCATATAAAGGCATCGCTGTAACCCATAAAGACTCCATTTTTTTTTTTTTTTTTTAAACACATATTATGAAAATAATTTGAAATCTGCAATTTACATAAAAATTAAACAAAACATTCATTTGGCCTTGAGGTGTTGCTTGTTGCTCTTGCTTATAGCTCCTGACTATCCGATGCGTTCATTCGGTAGTTGTCCTTTGTGTTGTACTATTGAAATGGTAATGGAAGGCACAAGAGATCGAGGGGTTAAAAAATTACCACATCTCCACGTGATGAATGATGTTGATTGGGGCGAAGCTCAGGTGGTGCTGATGATAGTGATTTTGTTCATAGGTAGTGCTGATGGTGCTGATTTTTTTTTATCCTCTCCAGAGCAGCTTGCTGTCTGCGTAGACGCTGAGCCGCAGCATGCCGAGCATTTCGTTCGTTTTCATCCATGTCAGAAAGAGAATGTGCAGTATGGAACGTGGTTATATACGCATTTGAGCATTTGACCGCAGCACCCTCTCATCTATAAACGTTGAGCCAATGCATGCAAAGTTTAATGCGATTATATACGCATTTGACTGCGGCGCCCTCCTGTATAGACGTTGAGCGGCTACATGCAACGTTTCATCCATGACATCCCCAGCTCTTGAGTTACTACCATGTCTCAGAGCCCCCTACTCGTCCCGCAGTCGTGGCCGAGTGGTTAAGGCGATGGACTAGAAATTCATTGCGGTCTCCCCGCACAGGTTCGAATTCTGTCGACTGCGCAAACATTACTTATTTTTTTAAGAAGACAGGTGGGGTGGCAATCGATGTGAGCATGGACGCCGGAGAAGGCTAGACCCTAAGGAGCTTCGCCACTAAAAAGTTAAGTAGCTGAGGAGTTAAAAAAACGCCAGACCCTCCGTCGTTCTCACCGTAGGTAGGTGTCGGAGGCAACAGTGGCGATGCGGAACTCGAGGGGCTCTTCCTCCCAGATGCAGACGTCCATGTAGCGTGCCAGAGGGTCTTTGGCTGGGAAGGCCTTGAAATGCCGCTGGCAGCCCTTGTCCAGCGACCACAGGCGGTGATTAAGCAGCTCTTCGCTTTCACTGCTGCCTGGGAGTGCCACATGCCATGTCCGTCACTGCACCACATTACCCCTCGTGCCTCCCCCCCATGAATGCCACATTTTTTGTTGTTGTTATTTTCATGTTTTCACATGAGAATAGTAACGGTAATGAGACTTTCATTCGTACCACGAGCACTGTTTTATATAACTTGTAGCATTGTGCATATGTCAAGACCCCTCCCACAGTGGCTTTGGAACAAAGCAGGAGGTTCCTTGTTTCGAAGCCACAGTTATAGATTTTCAAAACCATTTCCAGCACCACTGCCTTCCTCTAGTCAAATTAAGCATTGAGAAAAAACAAAATCAAGTGACCTTACACCGTTTTGAGGCCTGCACCTTCCAGAGGATCATCTGCGCCCGGCCCCCGACGGAAGCTAGTAGCCTTTCGCTCGGTTCAAGGTTGGATGCCTTGCAGACGGCAAGGGCCTTGACGGACGAGATGTGGCCATGCAGTCGACAAACCGCCTTCTGGGTCAGGTTGGACTTCTCCTCTGAGTTCACGAATCTTTGGGTCAAAGAAGGTGCTCTCGAATTAATGTACAAGAAAGGCCACAAGGAAGTAAACTTCATTGTGCAGGTATTAACACAGAAGAAGACTAAGGTATGGGATTTCCAAGAAAAGTGTGATGGACCACTATAAAAGACCATCACAAAATCTGTTACATAGATTTTGGGAGAAACAAAAGAATGCATAATTAATCATTTGGAAGCAATAGCGATAAATTGAGAATAAAATAAAAATCCCCAAATGTCCCCAAAGGAGGATCGATCCCAGGACCCCAAGATTCTGAGCCCAGCCAAAGGCCCGAGCACTGCACCAAAGGAGAGACTTGCGAAGCAACAGTTACAGAAAACGGCTAATTTTCGTGAGGAACTAATATTGCAGAAAATGGGTTGCACGAATATAACAGCTCATTGTAATAAATACAAAGTACATCACTCCAAATCACAAAAATTTTTACCCGTGAAATATATTCACTAAACTTGCACTTTGCGAAATTCACGAAATATTGAGCAAACTAAAAATATTACAGGAGGAGACACTCAAGACTGCTTATGTGCAGGAAGGCGAAAGCATTATAGTCCCGCAGGAGAAATGTTTTCGAGTACATAATGTTTCTACATGTATTATAGTTTAGAACGACGTATAGGGCGACCTCTAGGACGACGCCGAGGACGATTTCTTTAAACGTTTAAAGTACTTTGCTACACCAGGTGGGATAAATGCGGGTAACTGCATGACATGTATTGTATTTACCCGCATAATGAACGCGCTCGCATAATGTATGCACCTGCCGCAACGGGTACCAATACTTGGACTTCTTTTTTCCTCGCGTAATGAATGCACCTCCCATTTTTGGCCCCACGAGTCTCGAATTGTGTCCAGCTTAGCTAGCCACCAAGCCCACCAAGCCAATTTTCTTTTGCCGCCAAGTGGTCAGGCTAAGTCAAGCCAAGCCGCTCTCATAAAGGCTGCAAGTGCATAGTTGCAGACATGATCAACCGTGAAACCGAGAGCGGCGTGCACACTTGACGAAGCTTGGGTCGAGGAATTGCCCAGCCCCAGACATCCTTCGCCTAACGGATGCATTGTTGTCAACAAACACACCGTCGTCTGTAGTTTGCTTTCAGACAGTGAAATCGTAAAAGTTGTTGGGCCTAAGAACGGTAGCGTTGCTCTTCGTGCTGAGTGAGCTTCATCAGGCGCCTTTCCTTCAGCAAAAAAAACGCCGAAAGTGCCTTAAAAAGGTTCGCAATTTATAAAGCATGGTTACTGTGGTGCGGACCCGACCAGCCGTGGGTGCGCCTCCATCAGTGGAGACGTGCAACAATACCTTGCCGTGTCATATTGGCACCTAATATGACATTTGCATGAATTGTGTAAATGCAAAAATTTTACCCACGTAATGAACAGATCTCCCAGATAAGTGTCAATTTTCCGGAAAAAAAAAGCATGTTCATTATGCGAGTAAATATATCATACAATCATGTCACATGATTTGACATCCCGAAAAAATTCAAAACAGCCGCGGGAGAGTGGGGGAGCAAGTGAAACCTATGCATTGTGTGTGTATCAACCATATCCGTAGTATTTAATCAATCATTTTTGATATATTTGTACACTATAAAATTTGTCTGTCTTGCACAAGAGCAATTTGGCAAGTGCAGTACGACATCACACCGGGGGTCTTTAGCCCAAGTCTCATAGCCATTCTGTGAATCAATGCTGTTACAATGCTCTCCTGCACTGAAACTGCTGGAATGAGAACTCGACTTTAATATACCCGGGTCTGCAGCGTGATCGAGCCTTCATACTAAGCCTGCATCGGAATGTGGGGATGTGGACTTGAGGTATATTGTTAGTTAACACATACACCTAGTGTATTAAAAGGATGTTTCACCATACACAGCTTAAATGCCACACTGAGCCAGTGTGTGCAATGCACTGACAGAACTAAAAGTAGATTATAAGTATATTTCAATGACTTTTAGTACATTAGAGTGTAAGCTAAAAGTACACTGTAAATGTATGTCTTTGTTTCATAAAGTACAAAATAATACAACATACTATTAGAAAAAATCTGGCCCAAATATTGTTTCAAAGCAAACAAAGCCCAGATATCACTAGAGACAGGATATATTTGGTTTAGCTGTTTTGTGCTGCCTCTACAGTGTAAAAGCAAACAGTCAGCCTTTTGGGTACTCGGGCTCAAATTTGGGAATAGTCCATTGCAAGACCAGCCAAGATTGCCTCTTTCTGCCATGCACCGACCTCAGTTGGTTTGAGAAAGGATACGGGTCACTTGAGACACAGTGATGATGTTGTCTTCCCCAGCCGTGACAATGTAAGCCTGAGGAACTAGAATGAATAGCACAAACCATGGCAATTTAATTGTTTGTGAGATCATGCTACCAACTATAAAACATTATCTAGAACATCATGAAAAAAACACTTCCATACCGGTGGTACCTCCAGGACTTCCTTCCTCGTTGCCAAGATGACATATGGCAGAAATTTTCTTCTTATGTAGAGGTGCCTGAAAGTATAATTATATGTAAGAAAAACATGATGGATATGTACAAAATATTAAAACAATGATGCCGAAGACACTTAAGACTGCTTACATGTAAGAATGCAAAAGCATTATAAGTCCCATGGAAGAAATGTTTTCGAGTAATGTTTCTACACATATTAAAGTTGTTTCTGCCGGTATTGTATTCGAGGTGTGTGTCTGCGTATTCGTTGGCCACCAGACCGCAAACTTTCAGACCCTCATCGTCGCCTGCCTTTTCGCTCGCATTGCTGCATTGATCCGCTCCCTTGCTTCCTCGACTGTGGCATATTTGCATGGGCGGCCATATTTGCCTACAGAAGCCACCGTACACGTAGACGCTGCTGCCGATGTTAAGGCTGCAGGTGTAGACGCGGTCGCCTCACAGTCCATTGCATGAGGCACACAACGAGCACAGATGAAGTCTGAAGCGCAACTGACGTGCCGGAGGCAGTGCGCTACGTCTTCCTTTTGCACACAGCGCTCCAGCGGTGACATCATGCTCCCCCACTGCACTGGTGCGGCGCCCCCATTGGCTTCACGGTTTCCATGATGAAGCATAAGCATTGCTGTGCCTTTCTTTGCATTTGATTTCTGAGCCGCATCCGTTTTGACCCTGAGCGACACATGCTTGATGACATATTTTTATGGCCATCTTTCGGGCACAACGCCAACGCCGCCTTTTCCCGTAATAAGACACATAAGGCTTTCGCCTTAAAAATCTTTCCTCTTTCCTGCAATGTCCTGACAAAGGCAGTACATGCCGCTTTGTTGCAGTAATGTTGCGCAGATAAACTCAACACACAATCTTTGCCTCGACGGTACAAACGCTGTCCCATGTAGACTCTCGGAAAGAAGGCCCTATCAAAGTTAGCGCTCCCGCGTGCGCAGAACGCAAAGTTTGTGTTTCTTGCGGGTGCGCACCCCAGCTTTGGCCCCGATATCTGGTGTCTCTCCGTTTCCTCCGAAGCAAGCACCCCCTCTTTCCTTTCAAGCCCCGCACACTCTTCTGCCATATGTGCAAGTTTCTCATTTACCAGCTTCTAGATAATAAGACCGTAGTGCTGAATGTTCCATTTCCCCTACCGGAAGCCAGTATGGGGTGCAGGTTGCACGCAAGTGGTGCGACCCACATAAGTTTGGACTCCTGCTCAATCAGTCAAGACACAAGTTTCAGTCAAATGCTGACACAGCACTCGTGTGGCACTTTTCCACTAGAGGTGTGCGTCAAAGGAAACTACAAAGAGTCAGCCACATAACATGTTTGGTGGAACGTTTCCAGTGTTGTCCCAGATGCCGTCTCTCGCCTTCCTCGGTTTGAGATTGTCGCCTCTATAGCTGAGCGGCACAAACTTCTGAACCAGATGACGGTAAGATCTGAAACTTCGGCATTCGGTACCAGCCGCTAGCACCAAATTTCGGCAGATACTTTACCTTTGGTAACGCCGAGCACCCGCCGGTTGCAAGCGGCGAAAATGCACATAAAAACATTTATGAACATGCAAAAATCAACGTAGCACCCTGTACCACAAATACCATAGTATACCGAGAAATAGCCAACCTAAAAATCGAGAGCGAATCGGGTAAAAATAAGAAATGAGCTAACTGCAGGAGTGCAATCAAGAAAAGTTGAAACAAGAACACTATTTTCAAGTAGTAATCTGTCCCTGCCAAACTTACTATCGCGGCGAGGGGCTGTTAAGTGAAGCTAACTGCATTCCCCAGTCAGCAGTGTTCGCTTACATCCAGCCGTAACTAACTAGCCGGCTTTATGCCGAAATCGTCGTCAATCCAAATGCTACGACTACTAGGAGTGGGCTATCTTTCGGTGTCTAAAAGAAATAGCAAATCAAGCCAAAAATGGGGGGCGGTTTACCTTTTGCGATGGGGCATATCTCGGGATATTATGGCACACAAAAAATTTAGTTGAGAGGCCACAGTAATCGCCGACAGGATGAGGACGGCAGGGCTTTCTCTCGAATGCCCGGCCCCAAGCACATACTCGTCGCATTCTGCCGTACACCGGCCACGCGCGCACTCTCGAGAATCACAAGACGCCAAAGCGTGGTCGAAGCCAGAAAGCTCGTTCTGGAGTGGGGCAACTGAACAACCCCCACCCCTGTGGTTCTTCCTGTCGGCGACTGTGGAGGGAGTCACTCACCCTAATGCAAGAATTTCGCAGCGTGTCCTTAAGGCTGCTGCGGTGCAGCATGATTTTGCCCATCTTGAGGCAGACGAAGATGCCCTCCAGAGACGTCGTGATGGCAAAGTCCCACGACCGGTGACCTCCCCCGCAATCGACGGTCAGCACCGCACGCTGTTGCGTCGTGTTCCACACCACGAAGTTGCTCTGGGCAGGGCGACGGGACCACACAAAGATACGCCTCGAATGCCTGTCCTTCAATCTTTAGAAAACCAACGGAACCGAAATCCTAAACCTAAATGTCTCACACCGAAGCGCAGAGTGTCGGATACTACCATACTTTCCAGACTACGGGACTATACGCGTTTCAAAATTGAAATTTTACGTGGTGCAGACTATCTATGGGCGCGGACTATGCGGGAATTTTGTTTTTCTTAGATTATGACAAGACGTGTCAAATTTTGTGAACAAAAAAGTATGTTAATAAGAATTTAGTATGATAAAAGCTTCTTTGCAAGCTAAGAAAGCGGACATTTGTCAAGGTGTGTACAAGAGGATTCTTGTGTTGACTAAGCACCATGCCCGGACTACGCACAGCGTGCAGACAAACGCCCAGTCCGGACTATCTAAGCAAAATCTTTTATTTTTGACCCCAAATTTGCCCTTGCAAACTATACAGCAGGTGCGGACTGTAGTCTGGAACATACAGTACTAGGAATATGGTTGGACATGGCTCTGAAAATAAGATGCAGTGCTGTGTCAACCCTTCACGAATTTTACAGCTTATAAAAAGTGAGCCAGCCTAGGCTTCAATCGTTTATCTTAAAAAATGTGACAGAAAACGGGTTTCCTGATATCTCAGCGTGAAAAACAAAAACAAAACGGAAATAATGTACCTAGGTGCAAAGACCATACAGGCTTGATCATGCTGACAAAAACTAGAGAGCACAGAATGTGTCTTACACAAACCACACTCCATGTGTCGTTTGTGCTCAAGCTTCAATCTATTTATTATAAAATTTTATGCAGTGATTTTTTTTAAATTTTAGTTTCACTATTTTATTTTATTTATATTTTTGTTATTTATTTTAGTTTTATTTTATTAATTTAATTCAAAATCTGCTGCTTTTGCCAGCATGTTTTCATACAAATAAAACCATTGACACTTCCAGAGCAGCTGTGCTACGCAGCTCGGCGGCCATAGTGTCCGACCAGCTAGGTTCAACCTTGCTGGGGCGTCTTATGTTAATTTTGCATGTTCCTTTGTAACTGTTTTATATAACCTAAATGTCACGTAACGCTCGTTCATGACACTCACTCATGACAATTTTATTGAAAGAGACTCATAAAACAGATTCAATGCTAAAAGGATTACTGTTGTGATTACTATAAACAGCACCAAGGATCAGGGTGGTGCATAGAAAGGGACGCGCTAGAGAAAGGCGTCTGAAAAAAACAGTCGCTTGACATAAATGGTATTCTTGGAAGATTTTTCAACGGCTTTGTCACAAGCAAAGCCTCGAAGCAGACAAACTGCACTCAAGCTTTTTTGTTTAGAAAAAATAAGTACCCCTGTCAAAAGATGAACTTACGGTGTGGTACCCACAAAGCAGAAGGTCCTTTCCCTCCACAACCATCTGCCCAATCCATTCCAGTGAGGTCAAGCACTAGCGATGCGAGGGATAAAAAAATACATCCATGCCCTAAAGTCAGTCTGCTGCTGAAATTCATGGATTCATGCACAATGAAAACAGAACATGTGAACTGTTTCTGCCTAAATAAAACCCATTGTAACAAAAAAAGAAAAGCACAATGACATGAGGTGTCCGCAAAAAAACAAAAATCAAATGTTTTTTTTTTTTTTTTTTAGATTAGTTCAAGAGGATACAGCTGGTTTTGTTTTATAGGTAGACAGAAAATGAAAGGCTCCCTTGTCCAACCTTGGAGGGTAAAACAATCCCTAATGAAGACAAAAGCAACATTTGGTGCTGCTCAATCTATGAGACTGAAAACTCAATGAACGCAACAAGATGTCGCTTATTTGCCTTCAGCAAGGAGGCACACATGTCATGACCAAACAGCCGCAAACTGCTAATTTGGAAAGTGCTCTTTGATTGCCCTAATTAAATAAGCATGCTAATTCAGCATGAAGCAGGTGCACTGCACGAAGGCAGGCTTGTTGCAGGACTACACTGTGGAAAGTAACAGAACAGGTGATGTTGATATAGGCAGCACCAACCGTCGGTAGTCCAGTATATCATTTACATTTAGTCATTTTTGTGTCCCAAGTTGAGTGACCTTGCCTTTCGCCAAAGCTTGAATACATTCCCTTTGTAGATACTTTGCAAAAGACTAAAAAAGCAGAAGTGGTCTGGTGCATATTGCCAAGCGCGTCTCCGAGCAAGCGCATTCGTGGCTGAATGATTATCGTGCTTGGCTCCCACGCAAAGGGCTGAGGTTCAATTTCTAAGAGTAGAATTACTACCTTTTTGTTATTGTAGAGATGTGCGAATATCAAAATCTTTCGAAGCAAATGAATAAAATAATAAAGGTTATGAATCAAATCAAATTTTTTCGAATACAAATTGTAGTTCCGAATAAGAATATTTTTTAAATATTTTCTATTTGATGTGAATTAAACAAGAATGCTCAATCAAAACACATCTGGAATTTTTTTTTTTACAAACATTTATGCAAAGGTGACTTTTATTGCAACAAGAAAAATGTCACACATGGGACTGAGAAAAAACATGAAATAAAAGATCAGCCAGTAAAACACCATTCAAGGAGTGACGTTATAGAACATAAATGAAAGTAAAGAAGTGGGGGCGGTCGGCAGGTCACAACGCAGTCGGAGATTGCGTCACGGACGAACATAACCACATGAACATAAACGCAAGTGCACAAGCGGTGGCAGGTCAGCAAGCCACAATACAAAGTCGAAGATCGCATTGTGCAGCTGCACCGACTTTGTGCAATCTTCTTTAGAGCGAAGCTGTTATGTGCTAGGAGCTGAAAAAAAACAATGCGTCCATGGATGTTGAATAAAAAGCTCCTGTTTAAAGGGTGCTCCCTCATTTCGATTGGTCGTAGCAAGTATGGTATAGATAAAAAAGGGGGCGACCCGCGTGAGTCAGCCTTCCTTGGCATTATTAGAAAGTGAGGTCCTGATCCCTTGTTATGATCTACGGTCACCGACTTATCTCAGCTAAGAGTGCGCTGTGAGAAGGATGAGGGCAGAATGCGCTGATCTAACCTTCTTTTCTTTCGCTTTTGCGATGCTGATAAAGAGCCCAAGTGGCTGTAAAACTTCAAATAGTCTATACCAACGACAAGCAACAGAACCTGTATTGACCTCACGTTTAGCAAGAACGAAGTCAAAATACAACCAATGGCGGTTTACCTTAGTGACCAAAAGGCAATGATCAGTTCAGTCACTATGAATTAAATAAAGACAATTAAACAACGAAGTCGTGTATGTGTCTTCATTGCAATCATATGTAAATCGTAGAGATGTCGTATAGCTGTCGTAAAGTTGTCATAAATGTAACAGGTTCACTGGTCCTCCATCTTGACGGGAAGTGGATGGGCCCTACAATTTTTTTTACACGGGTGAACGCAACCACGTGAACGTAAACGGAAGTACACAGGCGGAGGCGGGTCAGCAGGCCACAGCAGACTTGGAGATAACGGGATTGCACCGCGCAGCCGCCGCCCAGACTTTAAGCCATCTTTTTTCACGTGCAATAGTTCTGCCGGTAAAGGATGCCACAAAAAAGCAATAAATTAAGAATATGGGTTTCTTTTTGTGGAAGAGGCAAGTCTAAATTTTACCAGTGAAAACGGGTAGAAATAAATAAGAAAAGGAATAGTGGCAAACTGATGAACCGGAAAATCAAGCGGAAAATAACCTGAACCAGATATCGCCGATAGCCAAGGTCAGCCGCAAATCCATATCTGAATCCATAGCACCTTGGCTACTGTAGTGACTGTAGCAACTGTAGGTAGGACTGTAATGAGTGTGGTCCGTCGCATTTGTGCTCCCGATGTTGCACGTGCCATTGCAAATCGTAGTCCTCATAACATCTATCGCAGCATTTGTGCCACAACCACTTCACCAACTCAGCAATCCAGACATCATGCAAGCAAAGGACAGATCGCACTATTGCGTGCAAATAACTTTCCAGTGCTTCATACAAAAAAAAAGGCACTTAGGTTGGCTTTTTGGGTTTGCCAAACTCGAAGCCATGTGGCACAGTCAAACAAAACTGGGAACTCAACCGCGAGTTCCCAGTTTTGCGCGAGTTCCGCGTTATTCATAGTTTTCGAAGTATTCAAAGAACTCAAATATTTCTAATAGGGAAAGTGCAAAGCCAATTGAATAGAATAGCAAGCATTATTCATGAAGTTTTCAAAGTTTCGAATATTCGCACACCCATAGAACATATATCTGTAAATGTCGCATTCTGCTAAATTCGAAAACCCTGTTGCTTGTTCGAGGTCCGAATGTTCTATGCGTCGGGTCTCTACGCCGATTGTTCCAGAAGTGCATGCGTGTACATAAGGGGCTTTGCGTGGCAAGCTGGAGTCGCTCTTCCAAAAGTGCTCAACTACGCGTTCATGCTGACGCCTGTGACGCTGTCCCGTTACCTTCTGTTATCCTCTTTTGCTTCTGTTTTGCACAAGTTTGCCACATTAAACATTTAGTTTCTTTCATTACTTACCGCCTCATCAATTTTCATTCGCGACTAATATAACAAAAAAGTGATGACACCACCTCTCATGTTAATATAAAAAAAAGCTGCCAACTCACATGTGGTAAAAACACAGTGACACCGAAAATGTGCCAACCTTAGCTGTTCAACCTCAATCAAGTAATAATTAAGGTTATTGGGAAAACAACCCAAGTTAAAACTGTATAAAATAGTGTGATATTTCTAAGAAAATATCATAATTAAGAGACCGAACGCGAAGTGATGTATGGCTGGCTATCAGCCTCGGCTCGGACTGCCCAAGCGCCCTCGTCGTCGTCTTTATTCACACCGTGCTCCGCACCTTGATACATAACACACCTTTACCCCTGGTTCGCTATGGCTCATAGCGCGACACTGGCTTCTTGACTCTCGTGGATCTTCTCACTTTTGAGCTCGCTTCAACGTTAAAACTGGTCGATCCGATAAGGGAAGCTTCCCTTTGGCTAGGGCTGGCCAATGGAGCTCGAAGCTCGGGTGCGGAACGTTGCGGGGATGCTGGCACCGCAGGTACAGGTGGTGGCACCGGAGGTACAGACGACGCTGTTGGATTTCTCGGCGGCGCAGAAGATCCGGGTAATGCAACGTCCACTAAAGGCAATTGTGGCAACTGGTTACCAGATGTCTCTTGTTCCGAAGCGGGACAAACTGTCTGTCGCAGGTGGTCACCGTGGCGCTGCCAACATGTGCCGTCATCTAGAACAACCTGTGATGATGATGCGCTTGCGGGGTGCACTACGGACGCAGAGATCCAGTCAGGCCCAGGTCGGAAGTTCTTTGCCCAAACGCTGTCACCCGGTTGCAGCAGTGGCCGTCGTCTAGCTCCATGATCACAACGTTGCTTCTGTTTCAGTTGTTTTAGTACGACCTTAGAACGAAAATCAGGATGCAGCAAGTCCATTGCAGTTTTAGGTTTCCGTCCCATTAGGACCTCCGCAGGTGTTAGTCCAGTGATCTCGTGAGGTGTTGTGCGATACTGCAGAAGGGCTCGTGAAATCTTTGTCTGAAAATCTCCCGAAGAAGCTTTCTTGAGTTTGTTCTTGATTGTTTGAACTGCTCTCTCCGCAGCCCCATTAGATGCCGGGTGATATGGGGGGATCCTCATACCACGAATTCCGTTCCCCTTCAGGAATTCCTGAAATACAGCACTTGTGAAGGCTGGTCCGTTGTCACTCACGATCAGGTCAGGCAATCCGTGCGTGGCAAATATTGATCAAAGACAATTCACCGTTGCCTCCGCCGAAGGTGAGGGAACGACCATCACCTCGAGCCACTTGGAATAGGCATCTACGAGGATTAAGAAATATCGTCCTTGAAATGGTCCCCCGAAATCTATATGAAGGCGTGACCAAGCTTTTTCGGAAAAGGGCCAAGGTGTCGTTACCACTGGTTGTGGTGCTCGCTGGTGTTCCTGACACACAGAACAGCTGTTGACCTTGACCTTAATGTCTTCGTCAATGCCATACCACCAAACGTGACTTCTTGCCACCGTCTTCATTTTGGTGATTCCTGGGTGTCCCTCATGCAGGAGGTCCAGCACACTTCCTCTTAGGATTTTCGGAACTACTACTCTCGTACCCCATAGCACGCAATTGTCTTGCACGCTGAGCTCCTGCGTTTTTGTAGCGTAGGGTTGCCACTCTGGTGTAGCGGGAAAAGTTGAACCGGCCCATAGCACCTCACGTATTTTCGACAACACCGGATCTCGTCCCATAGCTGTCACAATAGCTTCTGGGGAGAGAATATTGTAGTCACGTCCCAACATGAAAACATCTGCGGGCTTTGGCACTGTGAATTTCTTAGTCACCAGTGGTAGGCGACTCAGCGCATCAGCATGACCAAGAGTTTTTCCAGGACGATAGACCAAGGCGTAGCTCTAGCTAGCTAGTTTCAAGGCCCACCTTTGGATTCTTGGT